TTTTTTTTCTCTCTCTTCCCACTTTGAACGAACTTGGTTTCAAATTTATAAGAGGAAAACAACTACTATTATCTTACATGTATTTTTATGGAAAGGCTTATTTGGTAAGCGGTTAACAATTCAAGAAGTATTATTCAGAAAAATAAAATATACCGGAACTAAGGTAAGGTGTTCTGAACTTCTTGATATGAGAGTGAGCGACAGGCTTCACCCGCATAGAAAGTCTCGGTCTTTAATGATCGCATTTGGACATGGAATGAGGTAGTCTTCTACAAACAAGGTTTGCGACAGTAGGAAAAATGGAAAGAAGTTGAAGAAGGGATGCTTGATCAACCAATATTTTCCTTAATAGAACGCATGGTCATAATATTGTGTTTCTAGATTGACATTTGCGCCAAAAATACCGCAGGGATCATGCATTTATTTGCAAAGGATGGTAGTTAGTTACTTCCTGACAGTCATAATTGCTTTTGTTTTCGTAAACTGAAATAAGAAATAACGAAGACGCTTTGACAATAACTGACATTTCATTAAAACAAACATTTTTCCCTAAATTAACGAAAGTGGAGTTAGTCAAAATTTCATTGCTCATTTGGTGAGAAAGTGGTTATATCACTTTGTCCATCTGATGTTCCTCAAAGTAATGTACTGTCAACATACATCCAATGATCAGATCATCGGGTGTCCACATGAAACCCAATGATCTGATCATCCCACGTCATGGGGGCAGAAAACACTAAAAAATATTGTTTTTTTCTTACGTTCAATTTCGTGAATTTAGAAAAATATTTGAGTTTAACGAAGTGTCAGTTCAATGACGAATGGATAATGATACGTCTCCTTAGTAGGCTTGTGAGAAGGCATGTGAAATAATTTTCGGGAAAAGCTCAGTAGGACGCAGACCCGGTTTTAAATGCAAACCGAAATCCAAGTATTGCTTGTATTAGTTCAAATAATTCTTTGACGGTTATTTTCAACTGTAGTGCAGGTATTGCATGCTAAGGTCCTATCTTTCATTTGCAATTTAAAGCCTGTTGCTTTACTAAGAGATTCATAATTGTAGAGGTTTGTTGTCTGAGCCTGCTCGTACT